GTATTCTTGCCGTTGCTTCTCTACAAAAAAATAATACTAAATTCAAACTATCGCTATTTCCATGAAAGCAAAAGATTTACGATTTATTGCATTACATGTACTGTATTATCACTTGATTCCCGGAAGTGGAAATATCAGGCTAAACTTCAACTCGTTCGTCACAATTCATCTCGACAATTCCAAGTTACTAAAACAAAGGAGATGATGAAAAAACTATCTATTCTTTTATTAGTTTTAAGTGATATGCCAGAATTTTTTGGTCTTAGTCTTTTTATTCTTTAATATATTAGGTGTGTGATTCAGTCCAATCCTATTCGGATAAAGCACGTAATAAAAACCCTCAAGATCATCCGAATCAAATCGAAATAGCAAGTATTTACGTTTCAGCAAATATAAAGGCACATTTGTAACTGGAGTGTACTTGTCTTTTCGATGAGCAATATAAGAAATAATTCTATTATAAAATTATCCCTGAATCACCTGAAATATTCCAAATTTTTCTATTTGAAATGAAAATTGATGATATATGGTTCTCATATAAGACTCTTGTTTTGTTGTTTGTGTGAAAATATTTAAATCACTACAAAAGCCAGCCAATCCTCTATCTTCATAAACGGGATCACTGATAGCATTAGAATCAGGATCAATTCGACTAAGAACAGCATTTTCATTATGGAAGGAAAATAGAAAACAATATTTCGATTTCTTGTAATACCCGCTAAACGACCACCCCAAAGGATTATACCCACCGATAGCTTGTTGAGACCCAAGAATTTTGAAGAAGATGCAAATATGTGTTTTGCCCGCGCAATGCAAAAGAAATTCTTCAGGATTGATTCCTTCGCAACCTCCGTTTAGCAAGGATTTGAAGGTGTAGGGGACCATACTTAATTGATAAACGTCACCTCGTTTGTCAATCCAACTAGCGATAAGAGCGGCTTGTTTTGCAGTGATCAAATCTGGTTCTGGAAATTTTAGTCCAATTCTCGGAGGAAGAATGATTGTTTGGATTTTGGTGTCTGGTGCAAGATGGTAGATTTGCAAATCCTTTTTGATTTGAGCGGGAAGAATCTTTTTATACGGAAGTATTTTGTATAGGTAATCTTTGCTTGATATCTGAAAGAAGCGAATGTGTGTAATTGTATCCTTTAATGTATCTGTCAATAATCGCTTTTCTTCCACGGTCCAATTTTCGAAATTATCACGTTCCAAATTATCGAGTTGACCTATTCCCCATTTGATAATATAATCCCAAATTTCAATTTCTTCCATTCTTAAATCATTGCGCCTCAATAAAGAAATCAACTGATCTTTTGTCACTGAGAAAAAATGTGACGAATCGAATAGTGCTTTGGGATTTGACGCAAAAATTTCGAGACAAATTTCACAAAGTTGTCGACAAGACTCGATTTTTGACGAGACATGAAAAACTTGAAGGACATTATTATTGATCCAATCTTGTCGCTCTTGGATGATGTTCTCTTGGATATGATTGACCAGATCTGTGAGAATTAATTCATCGGCAGCAACGAGAATATCCAAATGACTGTCTTTATTTTCTGCTGGCAATGAAATTTTAGCGGTATATAAATATCTAGGAAAAAAGTTTTATTTAGTGCCAAAGTAAATTACTACCGCTACAGGAAATAAAAAATAATCAGTATTTACTCTATGATTTTTTCGAAAATTTCTGGATGTATGTTTGGTTTTTCCAACAAGAACATATCCTTATCATTATTATCTCTGTGAGCCCAGTTTTGAGATAATGCAGCTTCGAAAAACGGCGAACGAGCACGTAGAATGAAAGAATGTGCTTTAAAAACTCGAGCATTTTCATTTCGTCCAACTTTTATTGTGACATTGTAATCATCAGCATTTTTATATAGATTGTATAATTCTTCGAGCAAGAGACTTGTTAATTTTGGGGTAGTTATCGTTGTCATTTGTTTGTTTGTTTTGAAAAAAAAAAATACGATCTACAATTCTTGATTTGTTGATTTGATTTATTAACGTTAACGGGTAAAATTAAAAAAAAAAAAAGGTTTTTAACTACATGTAAGAGTTTGCAATTTTAACATGTACTGGTACAGTATAAATAAAATAAATCAGGAGCTTTTGATCACAAACAATCTAGATTTCTCAAGTAAATTCTGATAAATCCTGTAACAAATTCAGCTGATCCTGCAGTTTTCTCAACACATTCTCCATTCGATTATGTATAAATCGCCAATTCTTGTTCCACTCTTGTTCAAGTATAGCATCTTCACGAACCGTAGCATCCGACATTCTGTGTACATTTTCAAGTTTTTTCATTACTAGCCAGCTATGTTGGTCTTCCTCGGATGCGAGTTTGTCATATTCTTGCGTTGCTGAAATGACACTGTCACGCCAATAAAAACGTTCAGCGTAATATCCGATGTATGGAAGGCTAGTGAGAATGATTTCGGGAATGTTTTCTTTGGTCACCAATTCTAAATATCTAAAGATCAAGAGCATTGAAAAAATTTAACTTTAAAAAAATACTCGCATTAAAATTTAATTATCGCAGAATATTGAATTCACCTCGCAGTCCGACCATCTAAACAAATTTTGCACGTCCTAACTCTAAAAGCCCAAATAACCTTAACGGTATCGCCAGAATATCCACAAAATTGACATCCACGTTCCAGCATGTTCAATTCGATATAGGATTTCTCGTCCATGCCATCAGGCGGTGCCATTTGAAGCCTAGGCATGAACAAATGACGCGATGCACGCCAGATTGCTTGAGTCGTTTGTGAACTGGGCGAACATAGTAAGCCACGTAGAAGATTACAAACTTGTGATAGTGAAATAAGATCGATTGGTGATAAGTTTACGGAAACTTCAACAAATATCTCAGCCGGGATTGTTAGAATTGACGGTGAAATATATGGAGATTGTGTGTGTATGCTATCACTGTTGATGATGTTGTTGTTGCTCATGTTTTGAGTGTTGTAATTACGAACAGCGCTGGAATTAATATTATGTTTTTTTTTTGGTTTTTTATTTATAATAAAGATTTGTAATATATGAATAATTTTCTTACCCCAAATTTATAGACCAAATTTCTCTTGCTGATATTTTTAACAACACAAAAATTGGGGAAACAATAATAGTACATGTACATGTAACAGTGACGATAATTACCGTTACTGAGCATGTACATATTACGTACTATGATACATGTATAGCGATAAAAAACCAATCGATAACGATAAAGAATAACGATAACGATAGATAAATTATAGTAATAGATACAAAATGTATATACATAATTGTCGTATCGGTATATACATGTACGTAAATAGGGGTAACGGTAATTATAAGTTATTAATGTTATTATTTTGTTAATTTATACGCTTTGGTTTCCATAAATACTAACCTTGCAAATTATGTGATAATTGATAACAAAACAATACGTATTAGTAAGATTGTGGCTACAAGTAATAATTTAATACGAATAGAAATTTATTTGTAACCTGGCACACATTCCGGACGTGCTCTTGAACCATGTGACGAAAATATCGATGTTTTATAGAGTCTCCGACTTGTTTTTCGTGTGGGTCATCTTTTTGTACTCCAAAAATATCTAGTGAATAATTACTTTACAGTATTTGGATTTCTATTATTCCCGGCAATCTATTTTTTTAATGACAATAGAATTCTTAAAAGAATGTAATTTTTGCATAAAACTAATTCCTGAATGCAAATGCCCAAAAAACGTCTACAACGACAGGAATAATATTTATAATACTCACATGACTAATCACACTAACAAATTACATGTACATGTATTTTCTTGTTATACAATACCATAAACGTGTTTCACTTGCTCACGTGTAATTTGTGTTGAGCGACGACGTGATTATAGGGAGAGGAGAAAACGCAAGAACTGAAGTGACGAATCATTAATGTTTATGCTCAGGTACTTTTTAAATTTCAATCAAAAATCATGCATTTACATGTATACGATTTCTTAAAAATTGTCTCAAATTTTTTTTCTATATAATTCTTACTGTTTTGGATATGTACCACTGGCTTTAAAGACCTTTACAATTTGTTATAACATGATATCATTGGTAAACCATTGGTATATAAGTTTGTTTCGCTATATGTTTTGGATCATTATTCTATTGAAATATAGTTTAAATTTCATGCACTTAAGTATCTAATGGTATTTATTTTCCTATTGATTTACCTGAATCAAAATTATAAATTTATTTTCGTCCAACCAAATTGTCTTTTTTAATTTTCTTAAATCAAATTATGATTTTATATGAGAAATTTTGTCTTGTGATTCTATATTATTTGAGCAGTAGTGATTTTTTTCATTCTAAAAATCTATGATTTAATTGTATTTGAAACAGCTGTATTACAATTACATGTACATGTATATTGCAATTAATCAAAAATCAAATTTTAGAAGCAATATCAAACATTTGTATTTTATAAAATGTATAAACTTCTTTACTAAGAGGTAAATACAAATTTTAATCCGTGAATATGCTCAGAAAAGGCCTATTCTATCGTATTCACGGATTAAAATTTGTATTTACTTCTTAGTAAAGTTTATACATTTTATGTTTGATGACTTTAGATGTTATGCACCATAGTGTTATTTTCATTGATAATAAAATTTTCTATGCTCGAGTTATAATTGAGCATTAACTCTTTTCGATAAGTGTAATAATACTTCTATTATAATATTCTGAATAAAGTTGCATGTGAGCCAACTTCCACGCCAATTTTTCTGTTTTTTGATTTTAGAACAATTAAATAATGAATTTTTCGTGGAATACAATTTCACAAGAGCATTCTTCTTGTGTTCTCTTATCAAGTGAGTGTAATTGCTTCTACATTGAGAGCCATGAAAAATAAATCTGTCAAGCAAATTACCAATCAAAGTATATTTTAAACTATTGTAACCTTAAACTGGTGGGTCGAACAATTACTGGATCATAAACTGGAAGTTCATTCGATTTCACAATCCTCTGACAGCATCTTCTAGCCACGACAAAAAAAAGGTGTCGGTGTGACGATGAAACAATCCAACCAATAAGAATGCGCAAAAATTCTGCGCAACCAATAGGAATGTAGCAAATTTTTGATCAATCCGGGGATCGGTTAAAGCGTAGTCCATCCGATAATCTATCCGAAAAACAAACCAATGAGGATGCGTAAATTTTTAATCAACCCGGCAAAACAAATTTGAAGCAAAGACAAAAAAT